TTTGATATGCTTTTTTTTAATGCTTGGTCGAGATAATATTTTGCATCAAAGAGAGAAAAAAGTACATGATTGTACTGAACGTCTGGAACAGCAGAGAGCGGCGCATGATAATTTATCTAAAAGAAGACGATATATTATTGCGAGTGAAGAAGAGTGAAAAAATTCTTAGGAAAGATAATGAAAACACAAAAAGTTTAGAAGATGACAAATTTTACCCAACGTCACCAAAAAAAAAATTGATTTCTCAGTTGAATCCAAAGACGTTAACTATATCGTTTACTGAAGTTTCCGATCGCTTACACCTAAGCGTTAGAGGCACAATCGCTATTGAAGCAAAATAGTTAAAGCTGTTGGCGCTTTCTTTAAACAGGTTGCTATTTCAAAATCGAATGTTCATTTTCAACAACAAAAAAGAACGAGAACGTCAATTTCAATAAAAATATTTATAAATGCAACTGTTAACTTCATCCATGCGGTCACTTAGCAAACTTGTTTCATCGTCTAATGGTAAAACTATTAAGACATTACTTTATTAAGTAGAATCTTAAGATTTTATTTTTGTTTTTTTTACAGGAAAGAAAGAAGAACATGTTGCCATCCTTGCAAGTTGATGGAATGGTTTGGCTGAAAATTCAAATCCCAAAGTACTCTGGATTCCTACGATCCCAAATGCTACTGGTGCAGCCCAAAAAGATTAACTTATCAACCATTTTAAATTATGGATGCTACTTAATGATTTGAATGCTTTTTGCTTTGACACTACAACTAATAACACTGGCTGGAAAGCAGGATGTGCGGCTTTAATTGAGAAGGATCTCGGTCGTCCAATTTTATGGGCTATTTGTCAGTACCACATTTATGAGTTATACATTAAACACGTCTGGGAAGCAGTTATTAGAAACCATAGTGGGCCAATCAAGCCGCTTAAAATGCTTCAGGAAAACTGGTACTTAATTTCCCACAAAAAATTAGATATTATTCAGTTTGAATTTCCTGCAGACGGAGGTAATCCAATTTATTGTCAGGCAAAACTTGTCTCAAAATGGGCCAGCAATTGTCAACAAAAAAATACATTTCCAAGATTATCTTCATATTCAAGATTCATTATCAAGAAATACATTTTCAAAGATTATCGGGAACTTATTGAACTGGTAATTTCTTATAATCTTGGCAGAGAATTACAAGATGAAAAGACTTTTCGGTTCAAGAAACCTAGTTCTTATTGTGCAAGATTCATACAAAATGAATTATACATCTTTAAGTACGTGATATTGGACAAACAATTTAACTGGCTAAATCAGGACCAACGCTATAAGGTTAAGAGAAAGGCAGATTTGATTGCACTTTTTAAGCAAAAGCTTTTTTGCAAAGTCAATTTTTCATCATTGCACCAAATGTTGATTGCTAGTAAATTACTGACATGCAGTGGTATAGCAAATTTTACAGTACATCAGCGGATGCCGTCATTCAGTCGTGTTACAGTCATCTTTGGTATTTAACTTAGTTAAATACCGAAGATGACTGTAGTTAATTGTCTTCTTGTTTGATGAATCTATACCTGCAATCAAACGTTCTACCGCAGCTTTGAAATTGTTTAACATCAAAAGAAACGAACAAATCAAGCTAAGAAAACCCATATTTTTACAAATTGAACTGAATAAAATTCCTGATTTTGTGTTGCTGATCGGGCCAGATTCCTGGCTACTGTTTGGTTTACTCAAAATAAAACCTAATCAGGTGGATTGGTTTCAACTACCTGTTGAATATTGGACAAAGATGAAGGACTATAACTATGTTAAAATTGTAGTCGATATTTTAAAAATGGTTGATGACTGCGTTAAACAAGGAGTCAAGCTGATCCAAGACTTTAAAAACAAGGTCAACGATCCAAAGTAGTACTTCATACTGTTGAGAATTATCGCAAACAGTTGTCTCTCATTAGAAAAAAGGAGAACTTAACATATAATTCTTTTTACCATTGTTTTTTGGGAATTTTGTACATTAGTAACATATTATTTATGTCCTGTGCAACCTCAAAATATTTTCTTTCAGCCCAATTTTTTTACCTGTAACATACTAAAAGTTCTTGAATGAATTATGAAAAACTGACAGTGAAATCTTTAAAAATGTTGAAAGATAGGCGCGAAAACTACAATTTACTCAAGTTAGGTAACTGTGCTATTCCTAAATAATGTTTGATTGTCCTAAATTTTTACAATAAATATTTTTTAATCATTATGTACCTCACATAAAAATGATCAGCTTTTAATAAATATGATATTTTGTCAAAATAAAAAATAGTACCAAACTAATATAATTTTTAAAAAGACATTTTAAAAGTCAAAAGACTTTTAAAATGTCACCAAGAAGTTCACTAAACTCATATTTTATATGTCTTATTGTCCGTCAAAATGTAGTCCTTTAACTATGTCAAAACTTACGTGTGAAGTTTTTGTTCTCATTCTTTGGTAAAACGATTTGAGTAATTAATTGCTCAGAAAGGCTTGTGATTTTTTTATTTTTATTTTTATTTACTCTGAATAAGGTTGAAAGCAATTACTATTAATTTGAATAAGGTTGAAACTAATTACTATTAATTTGGGACTAGAAAAAAAAGAGTAGAGTTAAAGAGAAGGCAAATGGTTGACAAAAGACTTGAAAACTTGTAGATTGTATAAGTCAGGAAAATGTTAACAGTTAGCAAATTTTAGCAAACATTAGCAACCTTCTTAGCAGATGCTAATTTAACAATCGATTGTATATATGGTTTCCATGAAAAGCCATTATCGAACAAGAAGACTTAAAGAAAAGGGCTCAGTAAGAGGGTTGCCATTCATTAATTTAGGAATTTCGGCAGAATGGCAATAGTTGTTTGTAGTAAATAACTGAGTTTTGTTGGAGGTAAAATTCAAGAGCCACTGCAAGCCATAATTTTTTATAGAAATGAGATCAGATTTAAGATCGACTGCCTTTTCTAAGCAATCAAAAAAGAGAAAACTTTTTGTCAAGACAGAAGTATAAAGTTGAGTCATAGGCAAATACTCTAGATGTAAAATTGTAATAAAAATCATTAACATATTTAAGAAACAAAACAGAATAGAACCTTGAGATACCCTAAAAGTTACTGGAAATGAAAGAGATTGTTGGTCTTCTTGGATGACTTTAATAAAGCGGTTAGAAATAAATGACTTGATATTCTCAAAAACTTTCCCAGGTACACTATAAGAATTAAGCTTAAGGAAAAGACCAGCATGCCAAACTGTGTTTCACTCGCCTCGATCTAATAGACGAAAACATCTTTTAGCCACAGCAGTTAACAAATCAGTCGTAGAGCTGAAAAGGATTGAAAACCATTATTGATTAAAGATTGAATGACATTAAATTATTTAACTCAAGATGGGATGTTAGAAATTTATTGATCAAAGACTAAAAGATATTGCTAATAACAAGTAGACTGATCAGACAATAGTTGATGGAGCCACTATAGTCAAGGTTTGACTTGGAACCAACTAGAAAGAATAAATAACAGTGGAGTGAAAAAACACATCAGATTCCCAGTCAGCTTTAGGGTAGTAGAAAGTAGTGCGATGATAGGGTAAGTCCAATACAAAGAAATACGAGATGAAAAATTTATAGGTATCGTTTCATGGTCGGAAACAACTCAATGGAGAAAAGGAGAAACTAAACACAAGCTAGGGTCAGAGACAAGACACAAATCGAATAGTTATTAGTGATTAGTGTTAGAAAAAGAGTCTCAAAGTTAACTATCTAAGTATAAGATTGAGAAATTTAGAAGTTACTGGCTTTAGCGCCAGCAGTGTTAGTTGTTTAAGCCAAGCCGTTCAGTGTGATGAGTATTAAAGTCACTAATTACAGCAATATTGACAGAGGGTTAAAGAGAAAGGGCATGGTCAATTTGATTAGAAACTACATCTAAAAGAGTGCAGACTTGAGTAAAAGGAGAACAATAAAGTACAAAGAGAAAGGTGAAAGGGTGAAGAAAATCATTCTATTATGCGGAATCACATAATAGAAAGATCAAAGGATTAATACCTGATTTTTCAACAAAATGATAGGTACGTATATTCCCAATCAAATTGAATCTCTTCACTTTCTTACCAAAATATCGAAAACAGTCAAGGATCTCTTTCAAAAGAACAACGACTTTTCAAAAGAACAAAGAATAACGAACAACGAAATTATTCACTATATTTATTGTTAAAATATATTCAACAGATAAAGTTTTCTCATATCCTTTTGTAACCCTTCAAACAAAAGATAAATTTTTTAAAGTATTTGAGACTGTTTTAAGTTGCATGATGGAATTCTTCCAATTTGCAACTTGCTTCACCGATATTTCTAATTAGCTATAATTCGAATATCTTTTTTTTTTTATGTTTTTGGCATAAAAACTGTGATTAAAATATTACTACTTTTTTTTTTTTTAATTTACTAGTAATTTTTTTTTAAAGTTCCGTTTCTCATTTTTTTCTATCTAAAGCTTTAAAATGAAACATTCTAACATGTTTGGACTTATCAAAAAATTAAAGCAAGTAAATTAGTGAATCTTTAAAAAAATTATTTAATTGATGAATATTTTTTTTTAATTAATTGTACTTTTTTGAATAAATTTTCCGCACTTTGACTCGGAAATCTAGAATTCCGAGCATATTAGAGCCGGTTGAAAAATGAGTTCTTTTTTAAAAAATTTTATTTAGAGAAAAAATTTTATTTTAGGACGTTAATCTTTAAAACTATTATGGTTTTGATCAAAGTGTTTCCATGGAAACCAACGTGTTTGTTTTTGATAAGCATTTTTGATACAATTTTAAGTCTATCCTAAACAGTACGTCAATTGCTGTACTGTCTATCGCTTTCAGTACAGAATGAATTTTTTTAAATCAGGGAGTCCAATAATCAACTAAAAAATATTTCTGTAGAAAAATATTTCTGCAACTTTTTTGATATTCTCTGTTTTAATGTATACTTATGTTTCATAGATAATGCAAGCAACTTGTAAAAAAAATTGTCGGATATGCAGAAAAACGTTTTACTTATTTCAATAATGATAGTAATGTTGACAACAAAAGGTATTTTTTGTTTTGTTTTGTTTTTTGTTATTTATTATTATTACATTTATTTATTCATAATTATTTGTAAAATGTTAATAGGTAAAATTTCATTTAACCATTCAGTAAGCGATATGTTTTTATTGAAAAATCTTTTCATTAAAAAAAATTGATTTGTAAAAAAAAAGAATTAATAAAAAAATTGTGAAAAAAGCTGATGAAGTAAAATCTTTCTTTGTTTTGTATATTGCATGTATTTATCTCATGCTTAACAGTGACAAATCTAGAAATTTAGGATAGAGGGGGGGGGGGGGTTAATGTGTGTTTAAATATTTTTTTATTTTGTATTACATTTGCGTCTCCTAAAAAAAAAAAGTACTCCATTTCTAAGAAAGTTTAGGACTTTTAGATTCTGGAGGGGGGAGGTGCATACCCTTCCCCCTCCTCCTCCTGGATCCGTCACTGATGCTTAATATATACTAAGACAAGAAAAAGAAATAGTGTTTGAGCCGTTTATTTTAAAAGTGGCACTTTTTCAAAAAAAAAATCAAGTTATAGATAACAATGATTACAATGTAACGATATCTTTTTAATTATGAAATAAATAAACCAATTGTCTTGAAAATTATTGAGACATTTTCAAAAGAAGTGTTGCTAGTTAACGGTATATGTGAAAAAACAAACTTTTAAAAATCTCTGTTTAATAACAAAGTGGATTTTGTCAGTTTCAAAATAAAAGGCTCATTTATTTACTTAGATTAAATACATATATTTCATTAAAATTTTGTTAAAAATTATTCAAAATTTAAATATTTATTATTTGCTCTTTGCATTCTTGTAATAACAACCATGTAATAATATAAGAAAAAGCAAATTATAAAGAAAATTTTTTTTTTATTAATATGAAGTTAAACAAATTTCAAGTTTATTTGTCAGCACCCTAAATTTCAAGTTTATTAGTTAGCACCCTAACCTTAATAAAACGGATTTTATTGGAATCTGCTAATATTCGCCTTATTAAGGTTTGGGTGCTGATTAATAACCTTAATTGAGCGGAAATTAGCTGTTTCTGCTAATTTCCGCTTTATTAATGTTATGGTGCTGATTAAGCTATTCTTAAGCATATATAATACATAAATATGTATGAAATATTTGAAACAAACTTTAAACTTGTTTAACTTCATTAAATGTACAAAAAAATTTTTTCAAATTAATTAAAAAAACATTGTTTTACTTTGTAAAAATACAAATTTAATTATTTTATTAATCTCCATTTTGAAATTAACTGAGATTTATTTATAAGTTATACTTTTTTATACTTTACTTTTTCTATATATGCTTTACATATACTTTTTCTATATATACTTTCTATATTTACTTTTTTATGCATACTTTACTTTTGAAAAGAAAAGTAATTTAAAATTTTAACTAACTTCCGTATCCGCTAAGTGGTACAGAAATTAGTTAACTCTTAATATAATATTGGGCTAGCATTCGACACAGTGGATTGAGAAGCACAGTAAATAAGATGAGTTTTCTCAAAGGAATTTGTTCATCGTAATCACGTAATTTGGTGCGTTTATATATCTTCCGTCTCTATTTATAGTTGATATTACATAATTTTTTATTACCAACTTTTGCAGAGTAGTATTTTTTAGATCAGGTGCTCACTGGGAAATAGTCACGTGCTTAGAAACAGACTTGAAATTAATTCTTTTTATAGTTGGGGCACAATAAATTGGGGTACAACCCAATTAGCACTCTACTTTGGGCCAACTTTGAAACAACGTCAAAAGTGTTAGACTAATGCTGTTCCGATATTTGGTATGTTACGCTATGCAATGTGGTATGCTAGCTGTGAGTTAACTGGCTGTGATTCACTGTGCCCTATTAATTTTCTCAAAGATAAAACTCAAGCGTTTTAAACAAATAACCAAAATGAAAATGAACTTATTCGTTTCTGGTGGTTGGAATTTATTAGATTTTAATTAGTAGTTATTATGTTTAAGCGAATTTTCTTATTTTTTGTGGAAGATAAAGAAAAAGCCGTGGCTAAGCTACCCCAAATACCCCAAATAGGAGAGGAGCAGCGAATTTAGGGGACCCATTTTCAAATTTGGAGCCCTTTCGGAAATTTAAGAAGTTTTTTTTTTTTAGTAATGCCGAGTAATTGAAATAACAGATTTTTTTTTTTTTTTGGGGGGGGGAGGGGCTCCAATCTACTTGCCACGGCACTTTATAAAGATTTAATTTTATGTCAAAATTTTAAACAGGAGAGTGTTAGATGAATTATATTTATTGAGAATAAAGAGTTTTTTTATTGTGGAAGAAGAGAATTTTCAGCAAAATCCTTGTAAGACATTCATTTTCTGTAGTTGAATAGTATTATGTGAAAATACTTTTATGTGAATACTTTTCTTTGCAGATAGGTAGTTTAATCTAGTCAAAAATATTATTAGTGTTTGTGAACCTGTCTCATTTCAAGATTATTTTCATAGCTTTGTTTTTTAACTTCTGCTGCATTTGAATATCATTTTTATTTGCATCAAAGAATAATGAAGCGCAAAATAAAAATCAATAATTAAAACTATTGTTTTAGCCCACCTAGTCAGATATTTGGCAATTTTTTTAAGAGATGTCATTTTACTAAATTTGGCTGCAGTATACTTAATTTGTTCAAAAAAATTAAAGTTGTTGTTAATTTTAATGCCTTTGTATTTTATACATTCACTGAGTTTAACTACTTCATTTTCAAGATTGACACATATATTCATATTTCAGTGATACTTAAACATTTTACATTCGAACTTGTTGTCAACATACTCATTGACTTACTCGCATTTAGTTTCAATCCATTTTCAATAAACCAGACACTGAGTACTTCCAGTTAAGTGTTTCTTTTAAAACAGATCAATAAAATAAAATCATCTAAATTACTACATCAACTAAAAAACAAATTAATTAATTTATGTTAATCTCAAATTTAATTACCATGTAAGTTCAAAAACTAAATTTAATAATTACTGACATTATTCTTTATCATTAACCGCTTTTTTGTTGGTTTGTTTGCTTTTTGTTTTATCTAATTTTTTTTGGTATTACCTGGTAATTAAGACGATCTTATTTTGATTTGATATTTTTGTAAATATCTATCCTATTTCTTAATTTATATTTTATACTCTTGGAAAAAATTTTGTAAAAAATATATATTAATATTCGGCGATAAGACAAAAATAATGTCTTCTTCTTGCTCCGGCCATTAATTTTATTTCTAAATATATGTAGTTTGTAACAATTCTTCAACGGCAAAATATAATTAAAAAAAAAAAATTCAACATTATCATTGATTCTTCATAATTGTTACCTTATAGACTGTGTCATCTGCAAAGAGAATAATGTTTACATATTTGGTAGCACTGTCAGTATCATCGCTCTTATATCCAATATAGTATATAATTATAAACTTTTTTACATTGTTGGCTTCCCAGTAAGCACAGGACGTTTTTAAAACGTTTAAAAAACTAATAAAAAAGAATATTAACGTTTTTTAAACGTTTTAAAAACAATCTGTGCTTACTGGGTTACCATTGGAGCATCCACAAATAATCTTAGAGACTAATCTAAAGTAGCGTCCATTATTGACCAACATTTTTGCGTACCGAAGCTCAAGCGCTGAGCTGGTGGTGGCTAAATTCAAATACGGATCAAACAACAGTCCGGGTTTCCTTATCTAGAGATATCAGATAAGGAAACGCGGTACCTACCAACTAAAAAGTTAAGTAATTTGTGAACAATGGGCTTAAAATTTCATTTAGAAATGGTAAAATATTTTGTGGAAATCATCAAAAATAACTATTTTTTTAATTACATAAAAATTCAAAATCATGCAAAGTTTTTGTTTTTTGGTATGTTTCGGTCTGTTAAATAAAATTTTCTTTTTATCAATTTTATAAAAAGTATGGAAACCAAAATTTAGGTATCGGTTTAAATCGAAATTTTGGCCGAAACTTATACCGTAACGGAGTTTCGGTCTATAACTAACTTAAATGTTTACGACGGTATGTGAAAAAAGCTAATCAATCTGGTCTTGATGAAATAAAATACGTACCAAACTACTGAGCTATTGAGCTAAACTATTGAGTAGCAGTGGCGCTATGGTTAGAGTTCTGGCTCAGAACCCAGAGGTCCGAGGTTCGACACCAGCTCTAGCCCAACAAGCGACATTGGTACGGAAGGAGGCGTGAACTTCCTGTTAAATGCTCTCCCACGGTGCTCTATGATAGGACCGTAAGGACTTCTGGAGCACCTAAATACGAAAAAAAAAAAAAAACTAATAATGTCGACAAGTTTTCACTAGAAAAGAAGATAAATTGTTAAAATATTTTTAAGCAAGGCTTTCATAATAGAATGTGGTCTTCTTAGTAAATAGGCTTCCAGGATATAATATGGTCTTACTTGCACTCAGTTAAAAAAAATTAGCTTTTGAATTTGCTGAACATAATAGAAAAATTATTCCACAATCACGGAAAAAGTTGGAGAAGATAGATGTAAAGATCTTTATTAACATAGATCAGAAACATCAAGTTTTAATAAAACAAATATCGCAGAGATTTTTAAAAAAATTTTTAAGAAATTATCAAAAAATAAAATTTTAGTTTTAATAATATTTGATGAGACAGATTGCTGTATAGTTGATGCTGATACATTTTGACAGGTTGTTGATTGATACATCTTGACAAGTTGTTGATGCTGATACATCTTGACAGGTTGTTGATTGATACATCTTGACAGGTTGTTGATTGATACATCTTGACAGGTTGTTGATGCTGATACATCTTGACAGGTTGTTTTAGAGTATAAAAAGTAGTATATTTAAGTTATTGTTAGTAAAAAAGATATTCAAGTTAGAAAAATTACTTTAGAAGAGAGAGGTAAATTGATCACAATGTTTGCTGCAGTAAATACTGTAAGAAATGCAGTTCCTCCAATTTTTTATTTTCTGGCTTTTTAATAACTCAATG